TCAAAACTCGTCTCAACCTTCAATACTCAACACCATGGTTTTTAAAACTGACCCAAAGATCGACCGGTCAGGGGTCCAATTCCCAGGTTGAATGGCCGACCCGTTTTAACAAAAAAAATTAAAAAACTAAAAAATTAATAAAAATAAAAAATGGTGAAAACCGTTGAACGGTTCAAATGCTTGGGTCAGCGGTCTGTTGACCAAATCAACGCTTTTTTTGCAAATATTTGGTTTTGGGGAAAACGGAACCAGTCACCTGATCGGTTCTTGATTTTTTTGATCTGACCATACAATCTGGTCCGGTGTTGAAAACCATGCTCAACACACTAGATATATGAAAAGGTTTAACCGGTTGTTCTGTATTGCCGATTACTTTCTACTTCCCACATGAGAGGCCTCATTTGTTTTTCAGTAAACAGGAATAGGTGAGTTGATCAGCATCAGAATTGATCAATTTATCCATGTTATCTTTCGTTATTTGTGGTTTCATAGGAAAAAAAGAAAACGATTTCTGAGTGCAGTAGTTATCTAAGTATTACCCTCCATGTGTGCATCGAGCCAAGCGTAGGTGTGGGCGTGTGTGAGCTACACCTTCTCGTTTTTATTCTTTGACCATTTTAACCATTTAAATTTTGTATTTATTATTGGGAAAATGACGGTTCATCCCAGGGTCAGAATTCATATGCACAAAGTACAATTGGGGTAGGTGCCAACTCAAAATTGATGCTAATTCAAGGGCGAGTATAGGTGCATAGAGTGTGGTTTTCTGACCTTTTGAATGTTTATAGATTTACAGTGGAAATCAGAAATCTGCATTAGGCCTGTCTGTAGTTTTTCGTTTATTTTAAATGTTCCTTTTTTGTACCTCTTCATGTTTAGCTCTATGTCTCTCTTTGAACAATTGCCTTGTACATTGTTTTGGAGAAACATCTCTCTAAAAGGACACATCTGTGTCCATTCAAGTGGCTGAGAGCACTCTATAAATAGAGCGTTGATCAATCTAGTGGTATAGAATTAAACATACACCACTTCATCTTGGAAACTGATTTGCAATCACCCGGTTGCACCATAAGTGGCACGATTAAGCCCGTTTTATACTATAATTTCTCAATGTGGTGTTAACCTTCCATATTAGTTCTGCAACACTATTCACTCTAGGTTCGGAAAGCACTACACAACAAGTTCCATTCTCCTTTCTAATTATAATTTTTACATCAATCATAAAATCACATTTATTGAACTTATCTCTTTTACCCCTATAATAGGAAATTAGATGTTGTCAATAATTCCATATTTATCCAAGATTGAACCATTTAATGGAACCAACTATAAGCATTGGAGACAATGCTTTCTCTTTGCCTTAGAACTAGGACTAGCCTCTGCTTTGGTTGAACTGGACCCAATAAACATGGAGGAACCAGCCCATTCCGTCATTATARAACACTAGTTCATGCTAATCACATCCAATCATTCATAGTTTTTATATTTTACCCTATATATATATATTTATATATATACTTATTATATTATTTATTTTTATAAAAACCATGTATACATATATTATAAAAATAGCTGAAAATAGGTTGTATTTTTTGTTTTTCTTTATATAAACTATTATATTTTCTTTTCCTTTTAATAATTTATTAATTTTTTTAAAAATTAAATTGGATCAGATCAAATTCAAATATCTGACATCCTTAATGGATTCAGATTTAAATCAATATTTGTAAGATCTGATTGAATCTAGGATTCAAATATATCCTTATTCGAGTTTGCATCCCTAAGGTCCTTCACCCATATCGAGGGCTGTCAATTTTGAGTGTTTCTACTTGGACGACAAGAAGATAATTTGACATTTTGTAATTAAGGCTCAGTTTGATAGGAGTACAAATACAAATATATATTATACAAATACATACAAAATAATACAAATACAAGGTTTTACACTCTACAAATTTGTACTTATACTCCTTCCAAACTGAGCCTAAGGTTTTTCTACATAAAACATGTCTCTAGAGTATACTTTCAACGGCCTTGCAATTGCCCGGTCTCCTTTATCAATATATTTYTTAAACCTGAAATGGCGACGTAATCTAGAAGCAAAATCGACCTCTTTTATCTATAAAAAGAACCAACGTGGGAACTAAGGAGGATGTCATAGCTTGGTTCGTTCTTGATCTGATAAGCCAGAGAAGAGGATCTTCTTCATCAAGGTCACCTCTCTCTCTCTCTCTCTCTTATAGGTTCACTCCTAGTCTCATAACACAGAGAGGAGGATCTTCTTCCCCTCTCTCTCTCTCGTCAAAGGTATTCTGTATTTTTTTCCGTTTTATCTTCCTAATTACTTAATCGTAGGAAGATAAGTCCTAGCAACCTCCCTGCATGGCGGGGATGCAAATTGGCCCGGTTGAGGCCAGACTGTGGGTCTGATCCTACTCTCTAGTTGAGTTTGGGTTTTTACATGTCTTTAGGTCGGATGGTGTCCGGGCCTCAAACTAGGAGACGATGTTTAGCCATATCAAACAATTCATTAGTGATTATCTATGTTTCTGGTTTTAGTTTTATTTAGTTCACTAGTTGAACTGAACCTATCTTAAAATATCGGATGAAAGGAAAAAGGTGTGTTTGATCAGTTTTTCATATTTTTAATTTGTTATTTTGTCAGGCAGTCCTACTTGCTATCGCATTCACCAAGTGGATCAAAGAGACAAAGTTGGTGTTTGATAATATTGAAATGGGATTTATATCTAAACAAACTCACGTTTTACAGGTTGGATCTTGATTATGTTAACAAATACCTCAGAAAAGAAAACACATAATATGTCTAATTTGGTTATAAGTGGCCCATGTGTTGTAAAAAAAAAAATGCAGATTTTTTTTTTTTTTTTTGTTTTCAGATATCAAATTTGTAAAAAGAGCTTTCTGCTCTTAAGATATTAGACTTAAGTTTATCAAATAACACCTAACGTTATATATTTTAGCATATTCAGGAGTTATTTTGGTTTATTTGTGGAATTGGAATCAAAATCCCTCAGAAATGATATATTTCTATAACTTGTTTGGTTCAAACAAGAATTGAAATAGGAATTAGAATCAGCTGAAATGAGGTTTCATTTTCAAGGAGAGAAATGGGGGAATGCCATTCCACCCAACAAGTTAAATTAAAGCGGTTGGAATCGGAATGGGAACGGGAATTCTGATCCCAACTCCATATTCGATCCAATGGAACTCTAACCTAGCTACTCTGTTTGCCTATTCTAGTATCCCTTCGRCCCTTCATCTTCTTTCTACTATGCTGATTCAGATCGTCTCTCCCTTTCAGTCTGAACGGTTGGAAGTCTAGGTGTGGCATCTCCACTCTCAAGGGTACCACAGAACTTTGKKYAGCAGGTCTGGTAAATTGGTTCACTTAAGAATGACAGGCAGCAAATCAAAGCCTTTCCCCTTTCAACTCACTCTCCGGCGCACCGTAGGACTCCGCAAGGCATGAGGCCTAGTATCTAGTATTCCGGTATTCATCTTAATCTTTTTATCTCACAATTATTCTAACACT